TATACCACCGCACAACAAAATCACACGTGCGAGAGAAACTGCTGCAAAACTGAGGAGAAAATCGCTCTACGGAGCTCCTCCCACGCCATTCGGGAGGAGCTCCTGCCTTTGACTGACAGCTGGCAGGAGGTGGGACAGTGGTGGTCAAAGCGTCAGTCAAAGGCTTCCTGACACAACTTCCCTTGTCATTGTGTCTGCAAGGCCCAGTAAGGAGGAGGCTTACAGAGAGGTTTGTCTCCTCCCAACCTGTCAAAACACAATATTTTTTGGGTGGGGAGGAAATCAGTCCGATGGCAGAGACTCTTTCGAGAGCGCAGCCATTCCTTGAGCGTGACCGCTTAATAGAAAAAAACGTGCATGCAGTCAGATCCCCAGCATGATCCCGAGAGCTATAGCGTTATTGCACGTTATACATTGCCCATGTTATTGCCGTTGTAGTGTCACATTGTAGAGTCTGGTTGCAGGAAGGATGAATGACCTGCGGTAGCGCTCCTTTATACAAACGGGGAACTAAAGCTAAATGTCTGAAATTATCAACACCTTCCGATCAAACCAGCCTTCTTCGCTGGTTCTAGTAAAGCCGGGAATACACTGCGATATTTGCAGTCGTGGCACGCAGCTACAACTAACACTGTATGACTCAGTTCCAAAGAGAGATGCCGCTACTCGGACTCGTCTATCCAAAAGTGAAACACGCTGCCTCGGCAATATGTGCAATTTTGTGCTGAAAGCCCTAAAAAGAAAAGGGCGGCGACGTATTTGGACAAAGACATGGCTGAGCTAACGTGGCTACTACGGTCTGTTAGTTTTACAGAAAGAACTCCATTTCACTCACACCCCCGCCACGATTCTGGGTTTTCATCTGAGAAGAAGAAGAAGAATCCTTGTTTGCGCACTGAGCGACTTGCCCACGACCACCTTATGACAGCCGCATGAATTTTAAATGTTTTATTTTCTCCCAACCTTACGATTCCTGATCAGGAGGTGGTTGTTACCGTCATTACCTCCTGTACGCTACACAACGCACGATCAGGCTGTAATTCAGACAATCAGAAAATTCTCGGATGACTGGAGAATCGGACCCAAAAGGGCAAAAAATCACAGTGTCAGATTTAGTCAGACAGAAGACCGGATCTTCTGGACTGCCTGGATCAGCCACTTTATTCAGACCGAGAACTGATTCCTGAACCTGTCTCCCATCCTCAGCTGATCTCAGCCATCCCGACCCACCACCTGAAGTTCCTGAAGGAGGCGGGCCACGGCATCACAAAAGAAGAGATCCACAAG